TTATATATATTTATATATATATGTATTTAGTATTAATGTAGTTTATTGAGTCATGTTACAGAATATATATATTTATATATATATGCATTTAGTATTAATGTAGTTTATTAATGAGTCGTTACAGATTATATATATTTATATATATATGTATTTAGTATTAATGTAGTTTATTGAGTCATGTTACAGAATATATATATTTATATATATATGCATTTAGTATTAATGTAGTTTATTAATGAGTCGTTACAGATTATATATATTTATATATATATGTATTTAGTATTAATGTAGTTTATTGAGTCATGTTACAGAATATATATATTTATATATATATGCATTTAGTATTAATGTAGTTTATTAATGAGTCGTTACAGATTATATATATTTATATATATATGCATTTAGTATTAATGTAGTTTATTAATGAGTCGTTACAGATTATATATATTTATATATATATGTATTTAGTATTAATGTAGTTTATTAATGAGTCATGTTACAGAATATCCCGTTAGATAAAAACATGACGAGTTCTGAAATTATCACATTTAGCTTTTTCATAAATGTTGACTTTTGGATTTTAAAACATTCTAAATATGATTCTATAAGATATAAATATGATGGAGCCTTCTCTTTAACTAGTCCTAAATGTTTATGAATATCTGGTATGAAAACAGGCTCACCAACCACCTATATCTTAATATATATACGTATATATATGTATAATATATAATATTAATATATAATATTCATATTAATATATTTATTTAAGTTCAACACAAACTTTCTGAATTATTTGTTGTAGAAATTGAAACGTCTTCAGTTTATTTTTCTTCAATAAAACATGAAAATAAAAACACACGTTTTCATTATTTACAGAATATTGAGGTTTCTGGCTGATGAAGATGAAGAGGGGGTGGACAAAATAAACAGAACACAGCAGCTCATATTAGCTTTAAACTCATGCTAGCGTGTTGGCGCGTTAGCTCGCTAACGTTCCTGTTCCTCTCAACACATTGAATATATCGTTAGTGTAATGAAAAGGTTCATAAACAAGCTAGCAGTTTCCCTCTGTTTCCAGTCTCTATGCTAAGCTAGGCTAACCAGCTGTAGCGTCATATGTGTGTGTTCGTCAGTTCACAGGAAGCGCCATCCCATCATCATCGTCGCGATGGTGACCAGGCAGCAGTTAGAGCGTCCACTTCAAACACCTGCAGACACACAGAGGACGAAGAGTTAGTCTACATACTTAGTACACCAAAGTACAAGTACCTCAAGTCAATATAACACCTTTATGTAAACACATGTTCATGTACATATAACATGCACATGTAAACGACGTGACTCTTGTGGCTGTCTGCCGGTGGAGACCTCAGGGTTCACTGTAACTGCATGATGTTGTTGATGGTCCTCACATTGGCAGAAAGACAAACGTGTGTGTGTGTGTGTACCTGGTCTCTCTGTGCGTACACAGACACCTGCTGCTGCAGTAGCGCCCCCCACAGGTGGTGCAGGTGTAGTGAGACGGGAAACCACAGACGCAGCAGAAGTGACGGGGGGGCAGAGAGGAGGGAGGGGCCGCAGCAGACAGGTAGTTAGGCTCCGCCCTCTCCGACAGGTTCTACCAATCAGAGAGCAGAGCAGCAGTCAGCACGCACGCACGCACGCACACACACACGCACGCACGCACGCACACACGCACACACACACACACCTCCTCCTCCAGCAGAGTGGTGAAGTTCTTCCTGAAACGCTGCTTAAAGTGGTCGCCCCTCGTCTTCCTCTTCTTCTTCTCTGGACACAGAGACACGAGGAGGAGAAGAAGAAGCAGCAAATGAAGAAGATGAAGAAGGAGAAGAGAAACAGATGTTAATCATGAGAACATCTGTCCTCTGGTGTCCTCCGTGGCTTCGTCTCTCAGTGTTTAATAACCTGGTTCTTCTGTCTCACTGAAGGCAGGAAGACGGGCAGTAGGACCTGGGGGAGGCAGGGAGGACAGGGGGTCGTCCTGGAAACAACATCAACAACATGAGAAACTTCCTCTAAAGCTTCATAAAAAACACTGATTTCATCCACGACGCCACACGACATCATCAGGATGATGTCATCAGCTGGTCACAGATCAGACCTGGAAGTTGTCTTTCTCCAGAGCGTCCAGCTGACGGGTCAGTCTCCTCTGTCTGGTGGCTTCATCTAGAACTCTACGCTGACCGGCCTCCACACGAGCTGAGAGACAGACAGACAGGAGGGAGACAGACAGACAGACAAGAGACAGACAGGATGGAGACAGACAGACAGGAGAGAGACAGACAGGAGGGAGACAGGAGAGAGACAGACAGACAGGAGAGAGACAGACAGACAGACAGACAAGAGACAGACAGGAGGGAGACAGACAGACAGGAGAGAGACAGACAGGAGGGAGACAGGAGAGAGACAGACAGACAGGAGAGAGACAGACAGACAGGAGAGAGACAGACAGGAGGGAGACAAACAGACAGACAGACAAGAGACAGACAGACAGGAGGGAGACAGACAGGAGGGAGAGAGACAGACAGACAGACATGAGGGAGAC